CCACCCCCCCTTCCTCTCATCTGGTCCTGTCTCCCTCTAGCGCCCTCTGGTGACAGGTGAGTTGCTGGAGGACTCTGAGTTGTTGCAGGGAAGTAGATTAGTAACTTCTCCAAGGTCAGCCCTGTGATGAATGTGATCGCCTTTCCCTGTGCTTGGATTTCATAGCTTTTCATTTGTCTTTTCAGGTGAACGCAGCCGAGGCCGGGGACGCCAAGGATGAGGTATGGAAAGTGCTGGATGTGCTGAGAGACAAAGATTGTATAACTTTGTATATCACGTGTGACATCAGGAACACAGGGTCTAACCTTTCTCATGCGTGACATCGGGAGCACAAAGAGTGTCCCCGTTTCTCATGCGTGACATCGGGAGCACAAAGAGTGTCCCCGTTTCTCATGCGTGACATCGGGGGCACACACCGTGCCCCCCCTTTCTCATGCGTGACATCGGGGGCACGCACCGTGCCCCCCTTTCTCATGCGTGACATCGGGGGCACGCACCGTGCCCCCCTTTCTCATGCGTGACATCGGGGGCACGCACCGTGCCCCCCTTTCTCATGCGTGACATCGGGGGCACGCACCGTGCCCCCCTTTCTCATGCGTGACATCGGGGGCACGCACCGTGCCCCCCTTTCTCATGCGTGACATCGGGGGCACGCACCGTGCCCCCCTTTCTCATGCGTGACATCGGGGGCACGCACCGTGCCCCCCTTTCTCATGCGTGACATCGGGGGCACGCACCGTGCCCCCCTTTCTCATGCGTGACATCGGGGGCACGCACCGTGCCCCCCTTTCTCATGCGTGACATCGGGGGCACGCACCGTGCCCCCCTTTCTCATGCGTGACATCGGGGGCACGCACCGTGCCCCCCTTTCTCATGCGTGACATCGGGGGCACGCACCGTGCCCCCCTTTCTCATGCGTGACATCGGGGGCACGCACCGTGCCCCCCTTTCTCATGCGTGACATCGGGGGCACGCACCGTGCCCCCCTTTCTCATGCGTGACATCGGGGGCACGCACCGTGCCCCCCTTTCTCATGCGTGACATCGGGGGCACGCACCGTGCCCCCCTTTCTCATGCGTGACATCGGGGGCACGCACCGTGCCCCCCTTTCTCATGCGTGACATCGGGGGCACGCACCGTGCCCCCCTTTCTCATGCGTGACATCGGGGGCACGCACCGTGCCCCCCTTTCTCATGCGTGACATCGGGGGCACGCACCGTGCCCCCCTTTCTCATGCGTGACATCGGGGGCACGCACCGTGCCCCCCTTTCTCATGCGTGACATCGGGGGCACAAAGAGTGTCCCCCTTTCTCGTGCGTGACATCGGGGGCACAAAGTGTCCCCCTTTCTCGTGCGTGGCATCGGGGGCACAAAGAGTGTCCCCCTTTCTCGTGCGTGGCATCGGGAGCACAAAGAGTGTCCCCCTTTCTCGTGCGTGACATCGGGGGCACACATCGTGTCCCCCTTTCTCGTGCGTGACATCGGGGGCACACATCGTGTCCCCCTTTCTCGTGCGTGACATCGGGGGCACACATCGTGTCCCCGTTTCTCATGCGTGACATCGGGAGCACAAAGAGTGTCCCCGTTTCTCGTGCGTGGCATCGGGAGCACAGAGTGTCCCCCTTTCTCGTGCGTGGCATCGGGAGCACAGAGTGTCCCCCTTTCTCGTGCGTGGCATCGGGAGCACAGAGTGTCCCCCTTTCTCGTGCGTGGCATCGGGAGCACAGAGTGTCCCCCTTTCTCGTGCGTGGCATCGGGAGCACAGAGTGTCCCCCTTTCTCGTGCGTGGCATCGGGAGCACAGAGTGTCCCCCTTTCTCGTGCGTGACATCGGGGGCACACATCGTGTCCCCGTTTCTCATGCGTGACATCGGGAGCACAAAGAGTGTCCCCGTTTCTCATGCGTGGCATCGGGAGCACAGAGTGTCACCCTTTCTCATGCGTGGCATCGGGAGCACAAAGAGTGTCACCCTTTCTCATGCGTGGCATCGGGAGCACAGAGTGTCCCCCTTTCTCGTGCGTGGCATCGGGAGCACAAAGAGTGTCCCCGTTTCTCGTGCGTGGCATCGGGAGCACAAAGAGTGTCCCCGTTTCTCGTGCGTGACATCGGGAGCACAAAGAGTGTCCCCGTTTCTCGTGCGTGACATCGGGAGCACAAAGAGTGTCCCCGTTTCTCGTGCGTGACATCGGGAGCACAAAGAGTGTCCCCGTTTCTCGTGCGTGACATCGGGAGCACAAAGAGTGTCCCCGTTTCTCGTGCGCGACATCGGGGGCACAAAGAGTGTCCCCCTTTCTCGTGCGTGACATCGGGGGCACAAAGAGTGTCCCCGTTTCTCGTGCGTGACATCGGGGGCACAAAGAGTGTCCCCCTTTCTCGTGCGTGACATCGGGGGCACAAAGTGTCCCCCTTTCTCGTGCGTGACATCGGGGGCACACAGCGTGTCCCCCTTTCTCGTGCGTGACATCGGGGGCACACAGCGTGTCCCCCTTTCTCGTGCGTGACATCGGGGGCACACAGCGTGTCCCCCTTTCTCGTGCGTGACATCGGGGGCACACAGCGTGTCCCCCTTTCTCGTGCGTGACATTGGGAGCACAAAGGGGAATGTATCAAAACTGGTGCAGGAAAAATCTTGAGCAGATGTGCACGGCAACCAATCAACTTCTCTCTTCAGTTTTAAGATTTGAAAATAAGAGAAGCTGATTGGTTGCCATGCACATTCAATAGTGTATCACATGGAATCAGGAGCATCCCTTTGTTTTCCTGAGTCCACATATGATATACAAGGATTCTAGCATTCTCTATAAACTCAGAAAAGCAAATTTGATAACGCTTTGTGTATCCCGTAAAGTTAGGAAAACGAAGTATCACTTTATTTGCTTGACTTTAAAAATGTACAGAGATTCTAGCAATATGTATACTCTGTATGTGCGCATACAAACAAATGTCACTGTGTATGTCATACAAACAAATGTCACTGTGTATGTCATACAAACAAATGTCGCTGTGTATGTCATACAAACAAATGTCGCTGTGTATGTCATACAAACAAATGTCGCTGTGTATGTCAAGTGATATTGGGAAGACAAAGGCTGTAGCACTTTTACTTTCTTGATTGTTATTTATTTTTTCTTGCAGCCCAAGAGGAGGTCGGCACGGTTGTCAGCTGTAAGTATTTTCCTAGAAGATGGAGACAGTAGGCTTAGTTTTGTCTAGCAAAACCTTTTAGGTTTTGGGTAGTGTTGAACTCTCTACCCTTTGCGCTTGGTAACAATTTACATCTAGGAAGGCGAGGGGGAAAATGCAACACTTTAAAATAGTCCCCAGAGCAAGTAAGGGGGGACTTTCCAATGGGAACACCTGTCTAAGTAGGGTAGTCGCCTCACTGTAGGAGACTTCCTGTTTTCGCTCTGGGACAGGAAGTTGACTATTTCCCCAATAGTACACAGACTCCTAAACCATAAAATTGCGGTGGGTTTGTCTTCCTTTGTCCAAAACTTAAACTTGTCTGTTGTCATTCCTTGAAGTGATGCTGATTTGTTATCAATGACCTTGACTCTAAAGTTCTGAAGTTAAAAATCAGATTACACAGATCTCCTTCAGCATACCACAGCACTGTTGGTATAATTCTTGCTCTGGGTTGCTGTAATTCCTCATAGTGGTCCAGCCTTCTCTCGGCCATTCTGACAAATAAGAGGTGATGAAATGCGGGGAGGATTTCCGCTCGCAAAATTGTGTGTAAATGTTCAATTCGGTTATGTGGAAAGTTCCTGTTCGCTTTGAATAATCAACCATGTGCGCATGCTTTTTACATGATTGAAGTGAATACTCACACTTGATTTTATATCTCTGAGTAAATCGGCCATTATGTATCGTAATACCTGAGATGAGGCTGGATCATTACGAGGGAAGTGCAGTAACCTATAGCAATGGTTATATGGGTAGGCAGTGAAGGAGATCTGTATAACCCAATCTAAGTGCAAGACTTGATGGCAAGGTCATTCAGTGTTGCATATAGGTTTACAGATTCAAGGACACAACAGAAGTAGTGGCTTTGAATCTGTATAAATGAAGCATGCTGCGCGCTCTTCTTCCCACTTTCAGGCTTGCGTGAAGTCAGTAATTGGCTTCCATGGCTGTATTATGGTTTTTGCACTTTGTAAAAATTGGGAGGTTGGGTGATATTGGGTACACTTTAAGGTTTGTATGTGTTGAGAAGGAAATCAAACTTTTTGTATCACAGCTTGTTGGTTTTGGGGGCAGAAATTCGTGTAATTAGAAAAGGGTGTGGAAGAGGAATCCCCAGAGATCATCCATTGTGAGTCAGCTTCTAGAAGCTGCACATCTGTAGGGATGCTGATGCAACTCCTTGTGCAGCACCTTCAGTATTGTTTGCGAGTGTAATGGTAACAAAGGAGAACCATGTGCAAGTATTGCCAACTCCTTTTTTGTTTTGGATAAGACTGGGAAGGTTTAGTACCTCTTGAGTTTACTTTTCTGTCTCGGTAAAAGCAGCCTCCTTTATGTCCTGGTGACCATTATCACGGAGACCGAAGTAGTAAATTCCAAAACTTGGTAAAAGAGGTAAGGGTAAATCTTCTGAATACATCTGTTCATGTAACAACCACCCTCAGTTAAATTGCTCTTTGTAGAGATTTCCTTGGAACTTCCTGTAGCACCTCCTAGAACAGGAATCAAATGGGAATCTCCCTACCCGATTGTAGTACCAAGTATAGCCAGTCCTCGATCAAGTTAAAAGCAGAGTAGCACTGTTGACTGCTTGTAAAGTGCAGGGATAAATGAGTTTGTGTGTGACCAGCTGCTTGTTTAACAAAGGAGCAAATGTTTATGAAGTGTGTTCTTATCCTTTAATATATTGTATGTAATATTCAGTCCTGGCATGTACAGTCCAGATTTGCTTTTAAATGTTTAAACATTTTTTTCTTACAGAAACCAGTTCCTCCAAAGTCTGAGCCAAAGCTCAAAAAAGAAAAGGTTGTTGCAAAGGTGAATAAAAGTTTACTGCGGTGTGATCATCGTAATGTATTGTCAGCCAGCCTAGTGGTTTCGTTCTCGTCTCGAAATAAAACAATTTTTAGTCTTGATAGGGGACTGCCTATGCCCATGGTTGTGGTCTGTTGCAGGGGGAATAGATTAGTATCAAAAGCCACTTTGAGCAACAGGATTGGTGGCTGTGTAGTGAAGAGATTTTGATGAAGAAATTCCATTGTGGCTGTTGTATAGTTTGTATGGCTTCTTGTCTGCAAGATTCAGACTAGAAGTTATAAATGAGTACACTGGTAAAAGGGTTTAAAGGAGAACTGAGGCGAGTGAAAATCACTCATCCTCATAGTTCTAGCTGACGTGTGACCAATGAAACTGTCTCACGTCGGCTCAATAGATCGGGAAGTGAGCGAACACACACCGTCGCTCGCTCACTTCTCGATCCTGTCCCTTCAGAGAACTGTCACTGACAGCTCCCTGCAGGGATTCCCCTGTCCGATCCTCCAGCGGGGAGGGGGGCGGGTACAGCTGGCTCTGCCTCTAGATCCGTCTCGGTATACCGCAAGCTATACTGGGCATTGGGTGACAGGAGAACACTAATTTGTTTTCTCCCATTACCCTTAGGAGAACTATGAGGGAAAACACTGACCCCCATAGTTCTCCTTTTTAACGTGACAAAACTGAGCTTGTAAACAAGTTGAATCCTTGACTTTTTTTTTTTTTAATAGAGCATCATTAAGGGCAAACATTAGCAGACTGTCATACTGCAATGCTATCTGGATAGACTGGCCTGCGAAGATACGAACGTAGTTACATTAGAATAGTATGGCTATACATGGGGGGAGGGGCGTGTTTTAAAATGTCTTGGTGCAAAAAAAGGAATCTGGGGCAAGGAATTTGCATTGGTGTGAGATTAGTGGAAAAGGCATAAATATTACCCCAAATAGGGGAATAAAGTCTAGCTTTGGGGAAACAGAAGTAGAACATAGGGCGACAAAGTAACTTCTCCAAACTAGTGACTTGTCAGTAAGTGAGGGGAGAACTCGGAGGTGCTTTCAACTCCTGTGTGTAATAGTTAAGGAGCAAAAGTGCTTCTAAAGGCCGTCAAACCTGATTACTTTTTTTTTTGCACACAATAGGATGTATTCTGGTTTAACTGATATGAAATAGAATTCATGTGTGTTCAGGATTACATTTGGAATATAATGCTATAGAACAAGCTTCAGCACTATATGGCATAAATGTTGTAGCTTAGTATTAAGCAACAAGCCGTTTTTAGCTGCTGTAAAAAGTCCTGGCTTGCTCTGTCTTCATGACTATCCCCTCATGCTGGGGCTAGTAGTTCACGGGAGCAGGATCTGTCTGTTGCACAAGCAGAATGCAGGAACATCTGGCTTCTCTTAGGTGGGAGCAGGGGACCTCTTGCTGCTAATGTAGAACACATGTTCATGTTGCTGCTTTTTCTTTAAAGGAAAAGTCAGAAGAAAAAAAAGTTCCAGCAAAGGGAAAGAAAGGTGCTAAAGGCAAACAGACTGAAGAAGGTAACAAAGAGGAGACTAAAGATGACGTGCCATCTGAAAATGGAGAAACAAAGGACGATGAGGTTGGTGTTTTAGAATGGAGCTTTCTCTTATAGAATCTCTGCTCTAACACTTTATGGTGGTGTAAATTAAACATTTATTACAGTGCTAGATCATGTAAATCCTGAATGTGTTTTCTACTTTTACAGAACTAGTGATTCTGATGTGTTTTCAGGGGCTGTGGTAGTAGAAGCCTGACTGATAAAAACTTCAAATGGCTTCCTGATCAGCACCTTCCACAATCTCTCAGTGCTTTGTACTGTCAAAGGTATCTTAAGTGAGCACTGCTTATAATTATGGACAATCTGTAGATATCTTTTTAGAATAAATGACTGGTGTAGTCCAAGTGAAGCTGTTAGGGCTCGTTCACAGCATAGGCAGTGGGTTCCGGTCAAAATCCGACCAACGCTGTGGTCAGCTCACTTTTTTGCTTGGCTGGAGGGGATGTGGCCGGCCATTGAAGTGAATGGCACCGTAAACACGCCCTGCAGCCGCAATGCGATCGCCCGCACATTGTGCCTGCAGTGTGATCACAATAGTGCTTGCTGCATATTGATCGCACCGCAGGCACAACGTGCCTTGCGATCGCATTCCAGCCGGCAATCTGGTAACTCCCTGTTGAAATCAGAAACTGAGGGAACGTAAAGTTCTGGTCTTGCTCAGAGCTGCCACTACTTGGGGATTATGTTCTTGTGTCTTATAGTAAATCCTGCATACACGCAGTTGGCATAAGCCTCTTAACCGCTATTACATCCTATAAAATATCTGCTACAATAGTGTGCTACCGTTGTACATAGTACTGCAAGTCATTTGCTTGCACATACTCTTCACGTGGCATTGCCTTGAAAATTGAAGGCAGCCGCACTGCATGGTGTGGACTGTCATAAGGCTATACTGGTAACTACCTCTCCAGCTGCTTTGGAAGTACAAGAAAAAGCATGTCCTGTCAACCAAAAGTTCAGGCGGCTAGAATAGGGTGTGCTGCCACTTGTATTCTACAACTTGTTTTGATGGTTTGCACATGACACCTTCCTAGGTAATGGAATTGACTCTACAAAGTACTAAGAAGAAAGTGGTAGATTAGTGGTAACTGGCAGGTGCAAGGTCTTCATGAGCTCTTCTAGCTGATGCTATACAGTGGTACCTCAGTTCACAAACTTAATTCCACGATTCTAGTCAGGAACCAAATTGGTTGTGAACCAAATCAAACTGATCAGACCACGATCTTGACTAGAGGAAGCCACCACCATGTGTTAGAGCAGGGAAGATGGGCGCGGTTGTGTTCATCACCCGATGCGGAGTTCATGAACGGAAGCAAAATTTTGCCAAACTTCCTGTTTGCAAACAGAAGCGTTTGCAGCAGATTTACTCGGTTCAAGAGATTTGGCTTTTTGCAAATTTCCAGAAAGATTCAACATGTGCTAGATAAGTGACTGGTTGTCTTCAGTGATGTGTATTTCTTTGTACTCGCACATGAAATTAATTTGTCTTTTTTTTTTTTTTTGTTCTAGGCCCCAGCATCTGACGGAGGCGACAAGGAATCGAAGTCTGAATAACCTACATCTTGTTCCAAGTCTTTTATCAGTGGTTCCTGTACCTCCCTTGTACAATTCAGAGGAATATTTTTATCAACTATTTTGTAAATGCAAGTTTTTTAGTAGTTTAATTCTAGAAAACACATTTTTAAAATAGGAGGGAATCCCACCACGTCTTTTGTTAATTGTTCTTATTTTTTTAATACACGCTTGATTGGAAAGCCCATTTTTTTTTTTTTTAAAAAGGTATCAAGTGTGAAGTATTTTACTGTGGAGCACAAAAAAAAGGTTAATTCCATGGCTGTGTTGTGATAAGATGGTTCAAAGAAAATCTTTCACCTCATTTTCTGATCTCTGCCCATTGATCTCGCTTGCGGGCCAAGTCAGAAGGCAAGGCCTGGATTTTGGTCTGATAACGGTTTTCAAAAGCTTATTTTTTCCTCATGTCTTAACAGTTAAATTGTTCTCTGTACCCATATTGTCTTGCGTACAATTTTTACATCCTAATAAAAGTCCCCAGGTGATGGATTTCCCTCTGAAAAATTGTGTACTTATCTGTGATGTTACCATTTTTCCTATTTTTTATTTTTTTTGGGGTAGTGGTATTTTATTTTCAGTATCTGTGTAAAAGTGCTGTGAATCTTTTTGAAAAAAAAACTTCGAGTGTGTAGTGAGTGTGATGTACTGGGAAGCTTAAACATTTAAAAATAATTAATAAGCGGTTAAAATGTCAACCACGTCACTCCCAGGGCGGCTGCATTTTTAATTTTATTTTTTTGTTTGGTATCTATTCCCATCATCTCCTTTTTACAGAGAATGGGGTTAAGCTAACCGCATCAGAGATACTGGTACGAGGGGTGCTTTGTGTTAATTTTTTTTACAAAAAAATAAAAAAATCCCAACTTGTCCTTTGAACCTCAAGTTGGGAAGCCGCTAGGGTTTGTTTGGATTCTGACTTTAATTTTGACTACATGTTTTTATTCCTAGATTTCCAATCTACTAGAGTTTAAGGAAACAATGTACAGATTGTTCATAGTGTCTGTGTACTGATCACCAAACCAATAAAACCTGGTTGAAAAAAAAAGTAAAGTAACTTTTTGGGTTGTGAACTCTGATTTCTAAGATTAAACAGGAGGTAATATGCATATGAAAATTGCACTACTAGAACCGTCACATTTACATGGAGCTGAAAGGTTTACTTCATACAAAGCAAAACTTAAAGAGAACTATGGGGCTAAGTGGTTTCCCCCCATAGTTCTCTTAAGGGTCACGGGAGGACATATACTAACCTCCTCCTGTGACCCAAAGCTCAGTATATTTTATGAAAACTACAGCTCGTGGTATACTGAGGTAGCTGGGATGGATCCCGACAATACAGTTGAGATCCACCCAGCTGTGTGACAATTGGTGCTGCCTATCTAGGAGGCAGAGCCAGCTGTGCCCTGCCCCCTTTCCTTCCTCCAGTCAGCGTTGGAGGATTGGGGAGCAGGGAGGTGTTCGCTCACTTCCCGATATGTTGAGCTGATGTGTGACTGCTTGCCTAATGAGGGAGTGATTTTTCACTCCGCATAGTTCTTGAAGTGTCCATACCTTGCTGATGGGGGGGGGCGCTCAGCACCCACAGAACTGAGGATTTTTATGCTGGCTTTAACATGCTAGTTGCCATCAGGCTCGTGCTTTTGATTCACACTAAAGTTGCTGACCTGGAACAAGTATAGAAATAAGTAATTTGTAAGCTGCAAATCCTGAAGAAATGTAAAGCCAGGCCTCATTTTTCTAGAGACAAATAATGGTAGTGTAATACTTCACAACAAAGATCATGAACACATTCTGAACTAGTAGTAAGAACTTCAGAACGAGTCTTCATTCACCTCTAGAACTGGCCGTACACCAATATATTCAACCTGCAGGCTGAACCAAGAATAGATTTCTTAAACACCTGTGTTAATCTAGGAATCTTCCACTGTCGGAATACCTGAACAGAGCCAGCAGCTCATTGGCTGCTGGCTCCTTCAATCAGCTGATGGAAGGGTGCCAACAACGGCACCCACTGCAAATTTACATTTTGGCTGGTTCATCAACCGCCCAAAATTTGCAGTGTATGGCCAGCATAAGGCTTCATTCGTCCTTGTGTTCTTATACAGAGATCCATCTGTAAAATCTGTCAGGCTAGATGCCTATAATGCAACGCATGTAGCCAATGAGATTTCTGCAAATTAGTGTTTTGACATTCAAATCCATTCCTAGAAGCACCTGGAGTCTATGTTTTCTACATGCATCTAAACGCAAGGTCGGAAAAGATCCATTGGATGCAAATGTGTTCCTAAAACCATTTTAAATGCATCTCATCGCACCTTGTGGGAGTGTAGCCTAACTAGAGACATTGTGGAGAGATTGATCTTCAATGTTTTGTACATTGCTGCTGTTTTTGGGTAAGATCTCAGCGGCCTGCCAGTCCTCGAACACAAATAACCAACAGGAGTTTGTAGGCCAATAGGAATGGAATAAAACCAACTCTTGGAATCCTTGTGATTAACTTCCTATAAGTGGCTAGAGATGTCTGCAATGGTTTGGTTTAAAGCTCTTGTATTGATTTATGTGATTGGGTTAATGTCCACTTCAGGGAAGAACACCTTTTTAGGCAATTGGAGCTTGCCAGTTAATTCCTTTGCTTTAATTCTTGCAAATGGTGTATTTTGTTTGCGGTATACTGAGACGCTGAATCGGATCCTGACAATTATGTCTGGATCCGCCCAGCTGCGTGAGTGACAGCTGGCTCTGCCTATCTGGAGGCAGAGCCAGCTGTACCCGCCCCCTGTCCAATCTGCCAGTCAGCGCTGGAGGAGCAGGGAGGGGGGAATCCAGCCACTCCCCTGTCACGGCAGAGAGCCGTGACAGGATCGAGAAGTGAGCGAACGCCGGTATGTGTTCGCTCACTTCCCAATCTACTGAGCCGACCTGTGACAGTCTCATTGTCACAGGTCGGCTAGAACTATGAGGTGAGTGAAAAGCACTCCCCTCATAGTTCTCCTTTTAATTAGGTTTCCTCAGCATAGTGGGAGTTGATGAAGGCAGTGCTGCTGCCGCCTAAGGGAAGTGGTCATCCCTGAAGGAAGTTCTCTGTAGGAACTTGCATGGTTTTCATGTAATAAGGTGTATTTGTTACAATGCAGCAACTTGGTACGAAGCATTGGCGGTGTGTTGCATCACTGCATAGGTAATTGAAGAGTGAAAGTGCTTATTCTAACACTTTGTACTTAGCAAGCTCACCCACCCCCTCATCAGATGCACACTTGCCTGGCTCTGATAGCCGTGGCCTCCAGTGATTTGTTTTCATCCTGGATACATTTGTGCATTTAAGTCCCATAGATATCTATTGGACAGGTTAAAAAAAATTATATAAAGCTGCATGCATGTTGTTTGCCTCTTGGTGGTGTGACTGGGCCCTAACAGCAGAATGAATTGTACAGGATTTATATAGTGCCAACAGTTTGTGCAGCAATAAAGGGAGACTGTAAAGTTACAATTCAATCAAGACGAGAGGGTTAGGAGGACCCTGATCATGAAAGCTTTTAGTCTTTAAGGCACAACACAGGTAAAAACTAGAGGTGCACCGAAATAGAACAAATTGTCAGGCTGAAACCTATACAGAAAATGTTTTTATTTTAATTTTTAAAATTGTTTTAAATATTTTATAAAAAAATGTTTTAAAATGTATTCATTTATTATTACATATTTTTACTTTTAAGGGCTTCGGGGAAATATTGGGGGTCTAAACAGACCCCTGATATTTCCCTTTTAAAATAGAAAAAGAGATTGAGGACACAGAGTCCTCAATCTCTTATTTTTCTGTATCCCCAGTTATCAATGAACAGGAATGCTGAGTGTTCCTGATCATTCATAACATGAGGACAGAGTATGTTTACTATAACCACAATTATGCATGAACAGGAGGAGATGTAGATCACTCCCATTCATTCATAATTGAGGATATAGTACACATACCAGGTCCTCAATTATCTACAAACACTCAGCGATCACTGAGTGTATGTAGCCTGCTCTCCTCTCTGACACGCTGTCACAGGAGGCTGAGTGAGCCGTGGGAGAGGAGAGCCCAGCCTCCTGTGACAGCGCTGTCTCTGCCCCCACACCGCTCTGCCAACCTGTGATAGGAGGCTGAGCGGTGTGGGAGGAGAGACACCGGCCGCTCACCACTTTCTCTCCTCCCCGCTGGGACACAGAGCAGCACCCAGCGGGGAGGAAAGAAATCACGGATGCGCCGATGTATCGGCAGGAAAATGGCAGTTTCGGCATTTAGCCAAAAGTGTCATTGTCAGCCGATATGTTTTGGTGGCCGATATATCGGTGCATCCCTAGTAAAAACTGCGTAGATCAATAAAAGTGCAACTCTTCGGCTGAGGCGGGATCAGCGCTCAGGATTGCAGGCAGACCAAATAGGAGATAGATGGACAGATTGGGGTATGGAGTGCCAGAGGATTTAACCCTTTCGCTGCCAAGCCCTCCGGAACATTTTTCAAATCAGCTGGCCAAGCCATTTTTACTGAAAGTGGTAGCATGGGAGGAGGTGATAAGGGAGCAAGGGACAAGCCAAAAGGGGTTGTTTGGGTGACCTTTTCGCACAAGGCTGGTGGTGTAGCTCCGGTAAGAGTTGTGGATTGCTTTTGTATATTTAATTTTATTCAATGGGTAAGCAGAAGCCAGAGGAGGGATTGGCAGAGAGGGGTGGTGGACACAGCGGTTGGTAAGGGTGGATGAGTTGGGCAGCACTCATGATAGAATTGGAGGAATAACCTGTGTAGAGGCAGGCCAACAGGAAGGGAGTTGCAATAGGTGTGACAAGCCTATCACCTCTGATCTGTGCAGCTTGCAGAGCTAGACCAAGAGGTCAGAGAATCCTGGGTTCCCCTGAATCAGTGCAGCAGCTGGAGAACATCAAAACACAGATTTGGAAGTATGCATGCACTATTTTTAATCAACTTCTGTTTTAAAGATGAACACCAGACAGGCTTTTTGTTTAACAAATTAAAAGGGGGAAAATAAATCACCTCCCGATGTTTGTTAAATGTACTTTGGAAACAGAATCCAGAGCTGCAGGGATGAGGGATGCGGCTGTGACACTGAAGGACTCCAGCCCCATACCAGCATGGTGCTCTCCTTCTCAATCCATAAACACAGAGCATAAGTGTTCTGTGAATGGACGAGGGGAGATCTAGTTGTACATCCTTCCACCCGCCTTGTCCATTCACGTAACGCCTTGTATTTTGTGAAAATAATACAAAGCTTTTTGTATTTAGATGAGAGGAGGAGACGGGTTTTCAACGTGAGCCCTTCACTGTCACAGCCATGTCTCTCATTTCCAGCACTGCCTGGAGTAAGCAGGATTATTATTATTATACAGGATTTATATACCGCCAACAGTTTGCGCAGCACTTTACAATATAAGGAAGACATTACAATTCAAGACAAGATGGTAAGGAGGGCCCTGCCCCTGAGGTCTTACGATCTAAAAGGGAGGGGCCAGTGATACATGAGGTGGTAGCTGTGTGGGGATGAATTGTTTGAGAAAACGATAGTTCAGTGGTTATGTTGAGGTGGGATAGGCTTCCCTGAAGAGATGAGTCTTAAGGGATCACCTAAAGGCAGTCAAGGTGGGCGACAGACAGACAGGTTGGGGTGAAG